TTCCGGCGGTTGCTGAGCAGAAATCTCGGCTGTGTTTTTTTCTGCTTAGTGCTCTCTGTGGTTCCCGCACTTCGTGCAGCCCTCCCGGTAGGTCACTCAGACTGCTTCTTCGACTCTAATTGACAGTGATAAGTCTTTCACAGCACGGGACAATCCTCTCGGAAACAGGGCCGAAGAAGCAGTGCTTGTAACGTGCTTCAGTCTGGAGGCACCAGGCATTCACTGAAAAGGGACGGGCAACACCGTGTTCCATCCGCACTTTTCCAGTGTGCGGTGCAGGAAGTGTCTCTTCGGGCCGAGCTTTGGGAGGTGGGTTCCTTCGTGAGAGAGACTTCCTGCTGCGAACCTTTGACACGTGACCGATGGTCTGTACAGCCTTCGCCTTCCCGGCGTTTTGGCGAAAAGCAGAAAGGGCAGGGCCTGGCAAGGCCTCGGGCTCGCTGTCAGAGCGGGCACCTATACCAAGCCCTAGATGCCCTAGATTGCTCTGCCTGAAGCGTTTGCTGCTCAAAGTGAGAAGCTGCTTGCGGTTGACGTTTGCCATGGCCTTTGTTCTATGGCGAGCAGGCGCGAGCGCGACAGCTGAAGGGCGAAGGAGGTAAAGGGAAAGGGAGCCAGAATTCGAGCCCAGGGCATCTTCACCCCTAGCGCTGCTGAAGGTCTGAGACAGACCATCTTATCCTGGATAGCGTGTCACCTCACCGCGCAGGCCTCGCGGCGCTTCTCGGTGCTTGGGTCACTGCGGCTGAGGACGAGACATTGCTCGAAGGCGGACCTCAAGTAATCTCTTCCCGAAGATTCATGTTTAATTCCAGCGTATGGGATCAAGTTAGCATCATCTCACGGTCTCACGGATGCACATGCTGTGCGCTGGCTGTGCGCACTGGTTCAAGCCCTGCGGCCCTGCGGAGGCGATGAAAGCGGCCCAGGACCTGAGGCCCGGGAGTTTGCAACTGCAGACACCACGCATGGATCCGTCGGGGTTCGAGCTAACTCCGCTTTGATGTTCCGCTATCCCTTTAGCCCGGCTGTGTCGCTAGTGGTACATTGGAAGCTTACATGGCGAACTTTTACCTGTTTGCAGTGCTTGCGGCCTCTGCAAACGGGAGCAACGCAGAAACAGCTGCCTCGCCCGCTTTTGCAGGTGCCAGTTTGAGTCCGACACCCCCATGTGTTCGTGGTAAAACTATTGGGCGGGATTCAGCTCATTTCCGACATGCCTAGAATCGCGTCTGCGCGTGCATGCAGCAATTTGAACTCAGCATAGAGGTTACACATATACCGGCTGATTTTGCACTCAGCCAGATTTGTCCATGACTCCAGGCTTTGCAGAGGCATTCGCACGCAGACTAGGCATGGGCTTAATTTTAATTAGCAGCGGCACCGGCACAGAGTTTCTACCAGCAAGGTTGTCTATTGTGGATCACTGTCGACTTAGCATCGGTCGTCGTGGCGGGATCGCTACCCCTGTCGGCCTTGTGCAAACACCCCCCCCTCCAAACCAAAACTCGAAACCCCAAAGCTACGTCTCAACATGTATAAGCCCCCGTGCATGAACCTTCTGCAGGATGAGCCGGTCTATCCGGCGCAGGTGGAAGCTGGCGGTGCGTATGTCTCCAACAAGGAGACGATGGCTTAGGGCTCACAGGGCTTGGGACGCGATTTTTGGATTTTGGAGGGCGCAAGGGCATTGGGCCTGATTGATATGATTGGCCTGCTGGGACGAAAGGATTCCGGCACTTAATGGCGAAGGTTTTGAGCGGAGGAGTTTCAATCCTCGGGCTGCGGAGCCCGGCGAGGTTCGAAGCTGCAATTTTGAGCTGGTTATCAAGATCGCCAAGTAGATTTCCGAGTCCCAGGAGTCAGCCCAGACATTGTCCTCGCAATCCGAATCAGCAACTTTCGGAGTTCGAGCTGGAACCCGAACACCCAAGCCCAAAGTTCAAGACCGGAGTCCCACATGCCCCATAAGGGTTGGCAAAGGAAGCAAAACCTACACCGATGCCCGACCTTCTCAGACTGCCGCTGCGTCGAGGAGGCCAAGGCATTCTACTGGAGATTGCAGATGAGACCTGTGCGAGAGGGTGAGATGCAAGCGATGTTGGGACTCCTGGCTCAACATGGCACATAGACCGATCATGTAGTCCCAAATATTGGGCTTAAGGATCAGAGCTCGAGCTGTGGTCACAGTTAAGACTGTGTTCCCTCGGCTACTGGGCTGAGGAGCTTCCTTCGAGAACGGCTGGCCGAACCCTTTCGGCAAGTCTGCCGAGGACATGATGCAGGGTCTCAGAAGGAATATGCAGATACAGAGTTGCAATCTCGAGCTCCATGCAGACTCACTCCAGACCAGACAGTCTGCTGTCCCAGCCGCACAGAGTAGCCCGGCCTCCAAGCAGCGAAGCTCCAAGTTCATGGGAGCTGCTTGAAGGAAGTTGCGAGCTGGTTGTGGAATGACCTGCTGGCCAGCAATCCCTTCGGCAACTACGGAGTCCTGGTGCCCTGGCCAGAGGAGGACGACGACCAGCCGGGACCCCAACAGTTGGGACCGGAATTTGATATGAAGAAAGAAGACTTGTCATGGAACTGAGGCTCGGCCACGGTGGCTGGGTGGCCTACTCGCGAAGGCAGGTTTGCTATATCACGGCCAAGAGCTTCTTCGGTGGAAAGCTTTGGAACTACGACAGCGGACTCTTCCGTCTCATGAAGATGTGCCAAGGCGCCTGCGACTTTCGGGCTTCCTTTGCCACCCTCCTGGCAGCTTGCTCTGCGGACGAGACGCTGGCAGACGGCAAGCAGGGTCCGATGATCCTCACGGCAAAGGCCAATGCCGCGCCCGAGGTGCCAGATGTCAGAGCCCTCGCGGAGAATGTGATTCTAGAATCCTCCGGGCTGCGCATTTGCGACTACGATGCTGGGGCCGGCACCATCTCAAATGCGGAGACGGTTCCTGGGTCCGGGTGCGTTTCGCGCAATGCCAGCAGTCCCGGGCTCGACTTCATGACGGGAGGCCTGGAGGGTCAGGTTACCCAAGATATCTCTGCCTCGTGGTTTGGTGGCTATCTGTTTGATGCCAAAGCCTGTGGCCTGGGTGGTGGACAAGACGAGCGCCTCTCCGTGTATTTTCCAGAAGTCACCGTTCTTGCATACTTCTTGTCGAGGAGCATGCCTTACCCACAGGTACGACAGCCCGTTTGGTTTTTGGGAGCTCGAAACTTCTTCAAGAACCTGGATGGCACTGCCCGCTTCGACTCTCCACTGGTTCTTTCCGACATTCCCGTCGACGATCGAGATCTTGAGACGATCACCCTGGAGGGAGCCTCCTACCAGATCGACAAGTCGAGGTGCTTGCTCTTAATTCAGGTCTGGCTTGCCCACCCTGTGCAGCTTTGCGTGGGCGCATTGATACAGGGACCTGGTCAGAGCGAGGCATCAGGCTTTTATCTTTGGATTCCCCCAACGAACGCTCACAGGGCTTAGGGCTTTAGGGTCCACCATCTTGCGAGGCCAGTCGTGGTCTTCATGAGCGAGAGCCAGGGCTTCTTCAAGGAAACGAAGCAGAACCTGGCACTGGCGCGGACAAACCGGCTACAGGGACAGAGAGACATGAGTAATGGAAAGTTCGCGTTTGAGAAGCAGGCGCCTCGACCGCATACTTGGAGGGATCGATGACGGCTGCAACACCAAAAGTCGCTGAAAGGCCTTAATGCATTGTGCAGAACTCCAAACCTCCCATGCTGCAGCATGTACGGCTTCGGTGAACCTTGAAACCATAACCTGGACCCCTAAAGCAGGTAAAATAATGGCCATTAACGGCCCAAAACCAATAAAAGGCTATTATTCTACATACTTATGGGAGGTCCAGGTATCTGAACTCACCCCGCACATGGCCAGTGCCTGCCCTCCTCTGCCTGCATCGTACGACCGGAGGTGCGGGCTTGGTACCGCTCCATGGCTCTGGACTCCTACGATGAGGTTCCACTGTAGGGCCTTATAAGGTGGAGAGAGAGAGAGAGATATATATATATATATATATATTAATATGATCCCGGCTCGGCCGGCCCCCCCCCCCTCTCCCCCCCCCAATGGTTCCTCCTCCCCCTCCCTGTGGTGTGGTGTGGTTGTGGGT